TTTTGAGGTGTAATTCCCCGATTTTCCCTATGCTAGACTGATTTTCATTTCAGTGTTGACGTATTTACTGAGCCGCGACATTGTACATTCGTTAAAACAAAGATTTTTATTAAATATATTTATTTTTTTGTTTAATATTATTGGGTATGTATACATTTGCATTAAATTAATATTAAAATACTAAACGTTTAGGTACCCACGAGTCAAGATATTAAACTTAATAGTCCAATAAATGGCATCCGAATCCATAGCGCCAATGAATGTATCCCGTATCAGTTCATTCAGGAAAACACCTTACGATGCAATGGCACTGCCGGCAATCACAAATTATCGTTAGTGAGACAAATCTACTTCTCGTTGGCCAGACGATATTTATCTCTCTTTAGCCACCTTGAATTTTCCCGCTCAAACTGACCTTATATATGCACTACGGCGACCGGTGGTCGACCGATCAGTGTCTTCGCTCGTCCGTAGCTCTATGTTGGGTTAACGTATCCTTTCAACTACGGAAAGTTTGACAGATGAAGTTTGTGAGTTAGACAATGTTTGGAGCAAAGTGCAAATGTAAAAAGGAGCATCATATTCGATTATATTCGACCATATTCTGAAATTCTTAATCAAAAATGAAAGAAATCAAAAATGTAAACAATTAAAAATGGATACTTTTTTCCAAAAAATGTAAGAAATTTGAAACTAAAATTTTTAAATAAAAACATTTTACTTTATTTTATGATAAAATACATTTTAAAAATTAAAAATTTATATGTATTTTGTATTATATTGTATTAATAAACAAAATTATTAGCTTATTTTTCACTTATGTACAGTACAACCTAACCCTATACCTCACTGTAAATATGGGTTTGTTTTATGTCGATTTGATTTGCGCCGGCTTTTGTAGGAACGGAACTGCGGCATAAACCGAGGGCTACCTGTACATAATTACAGACAGCCAGCATGAATTAGATTTAATTAAATGAAAAACAAACATTTTCCAACATTTTTAATTGTCATCATCAGGTTTAGAACTAATAGGATGCGTGTTTTAAAAAGAACAAAAATTTAACATTTAATTAAATCTAATTCATGCTGGTTGTCTGTAATTACATATTTTTATTGCTTTATACCAGTAGTTTCATGGAGATAGTATTAATACAAACATTTATATATCATGTAACAAATGCCCTCTGGTAGGCCTATCTTACAATATTTAAATAATACAACAAAGATATTAATAGATTCTTTTAGAATAGAAACAGCATAATTTATTTTACCTTTCATATATGAGTTCTTGTACTGGAGCACGAGGACAGACATGATCAGGATGCTCTAATTGTGAGCAACGCATGAAATAATAAAGTGAATGTAAAGCACCAGGTCCCCATGCTATATTATGTCTACCTGAAGAATTAAGCTGCACTCTGTTATGGTACTGAACTACTCGACTCAAAAGATCTCCTAATAAATAAATAAAGTTCATTAGGAAAAAATTTATTATTTGTTTTTATATGAATTTTTAAAAATAGCAAAGTATATAACATTTATATTTAAAAATCTTCAACTTAATATTCAATACCATGTTTTCTCAATTTGAATGTGCCATGGAATTTGATCAGTACCCAATTTTTGAGATGTCAAAATCCAAAAAAAGTTAGCTTGCAAATGTAATGCTTGCCCTGAATTGAAAATGCAGCTGCAAAAAGTTAATGTATTTAAACAGTAATAAACACAGTTTTGAAAAGCATTTTATTTTCATGTTTACTATATTTCATGATATCCAGATTTTTCAACTGTATTCAAATTTTTTCATTGTGATTCCATTATCAGAAACAGATAATGGAGTCATAAGTGAGTATATTTGAATACATTTGAAAAATGAACAGAGGATCTGTGGATCAATATAAAATCACAGTCGTAATTACCATAAGATCAATGTTTTAATAGCAAGATTTCATGTCAGTTTTGAACATTTTGTTGGATTAAATCGAGCTATATTACTATTAATAATTAAATGCTAAGTAATTTTGCCTAATCTAATCTGGCAATCATTAGGCTTTAATTAATATAACTATTAGACTTATTTATGTGGCAATTTATATGTATTATACAAATACACATAAATTGCCAAGCAGAGTAAAGAGCAAACAATGCAAAAGAGGTTGCATTAAGTCAACTTTGTGCCTGATTCTAATGTATATTCCAATTTTTGAGACCAAAAAAGTCCAAAAAAAAGGTGCAAGGTGCACATTAGAATTGAGAAAACATAGTATTCATAGCAATGCTTAATAGATTATTATTTAATAATGATTTAGTTTTTTTTTGTGGATAAATTAACTAAGCTATATTTATAGTTCTTAGTCCTTAAATAAAATGAATTTTTTTTATTGTANGATAGAGACAATTTTAATTGTGTATATATACAGGGTGATCAGAAAATGTCTGGCCAAAATTTAAAGGGGATTAGAGGGGATGAATAAAAAAGGATTCGCAGTAAAATGCTTGTCCGGAAACGTCACATGAAAGTCTTGGAGAGTAAAGAAAGTAGAAAGGACACAAACAAATGTAACAAGTCCTTTATTAACAAACCCAATCTTTGCGCAGCTCTCCCATTTCCATTCGCAGCTCCATATGTCAGGTGGATATCTGCTAGTTCAGTATTCGTGAAGTGCTGCGTGCCATATGAAATCATATTAAGAATTAAGACTGCCCTACACAGTGCCCTCTATTGATGCGGTGTTTTCAGACAAGCATTGTACTGCAAATCCTTTTATATTCATCCCCTCTAACCCCCTTTAAATCTTGGCCAGACATTTTCTGATCACCCTGTATACATACACAATTAAAATTGTCTCTATCAATAGTAATATATGGCAGAGTGAATGGTATACAGTTTCAAGGTGCCAGTATTTCTCACACATGTGCAGCCGCAATGAATATTCAAGCAACAAGGTCCTCAACAGTCAACTGGATTCTCATAAATGAGGACCTTCAGACATTCCCATAAGAAGTTTGACACAATTTTGAGCAATTATTGGAAACATTGCTGTAAAATGCACTTGTGAACAATGCTGTAAGTAAACAATTTATGTTTCCTTTCATGTATTATTTCTTGTGTTTATGCCTTAATGCATACTTGCCCATACTTTCCTATACAAAAAATGCTTTTTGTTGTGTGCTCTATCACCCCTTAAAGTTTGTCCCATGAGTTCTGAATCACTGTGTATACACAGTGACATAGTACTAGTTTTTTGTGAGGGTGAAGATATAGAGGATCACAAAATAGGAACAGAGGAATTTCCATTTGTAGGTTTTTGGGATATTGCTGAATGTCAGGGGATGGCTGCCCCAGGAAAATGGAGATTTACCCACATTCTCAACTAGTTACAACTAGTTGAGAATGAGGCTAACTAGTTTCAACTAGTTATAATTAGTTATCTTGTACTATTGAGAATTGTATATTTGATTTTAGTATTATAAAACTGTTAAATTCCAAATTCCTCATGTTAATTGTTGTTTGTAAGGCCCTTCATCTCTTATCCCTCCACATTCTGTGTGCTTTGGCCATTACAGGTCTACACTGTATTTGGTTGGACAATCTGATTTAGATTGATGAGAATCACTTTCTCAGCAATGTTTTTCTATAGCTGACTTTTGAGGATGGGGTATATAAACAAAATAAACCTGGTATTTAACAAGGAATCTCCTCAAACTTCCTTGCTTTATTTATTGTTATTATTCATCTTTACTTCTAATTATCATCTTTCCTTTATTCTTAAGTGATTTTTAGAACAAAATAATTTTTTAATCAATAATTTAAAAAGGTTTTAGATTCCAAACACTAACTGTTTTATAATTATGAAACTTACAGAACAGTTAAAACTATGATTCTAAATTATTTTATTTAAAAAAATTTGATTTCTCACCTAATTCTGTAATACTTCCAACACATGTTGTTAGTAAATTTTGTTCTATAGATTTACATGATGTTTGTCTTATAGACTCTTCTCCCTGATGAAGTTGTGAAGAACTTCCAAATCTACTGTTTTCTGATAGATTTGGCCAACGAGGTAATGATAAAGCACCTGAAAATATTAAAAAATATTTTAAAAATTTAATTATAAAATTATAATAATGGAATTTAATGCTCATAATGAATCTCAGATTAATATAGTTTAAGTTAGATTAAGATATTTTTAAAACTCAATGAGTAAGCATGAATTGTTCCATTATTTATCATATCAACTACTATTATTCTTAAAAATTTTCAATTTTTCAAAGAATAATTATTTTTTAACATTTAAATCATTTTTGAATTTTCATATCAAATATTTTTTAATTAAAAAATCATTTTTATTATCAGATATTCTGATGAATTAAATTTAATTGTCTCATATCTACTGCATATACATTTAATTCCATAAATCTACCGTTACCAAAAAATAGTTTAAAGAATATAGACATAAAAAGAACAGCAATGATGAAAATAATGGATGGTGCATGTGCAGCATAAGCACAATAACTGAGAACTTTATCATTATTAATGGTGTACTTTTGGTGCAAGAAAAATACCAGCCCTCAGCAGAGTTGCTTCATAGAAAGCAGAATGTTTTTCCTATAAAGATACAAATAGTAAAAATTCCAATTTGGGTTTCATCTACATATCTGATACAGAGGTATTGATCATATTAAAATTGACCTGGCTTACATCAAAATAGAATCCAACCATAAAAGATCTCACAAATTTTTAAAATATTCCATAAGTTTGAAGATTCTTTGCCAAAATTTGCAATTTTATCTAAGCCATTGAAAGATAATGATAACTATGATTTACTGACTGTCAAAGAAATGGAATAAAGGGCTGTTTATTAATTACAAGTACAGTTTAAGGGTGAGAGGAGGACGTTGCACCAAAAAGTGAAAAAGTGCACCATTGTACGTACATAACAGGAGAGGATAGAAAGTAGCTCAAAAACTGTACATTCAATGGACAGCCCTTAGTAACATTTTAAAGTTAACATGTAATTAATTATTCACAATTTATATCATTATATATAATAACTATATTATAAATCTGTTTCTGACACTTTAAATATCAATGACTAGATACTGATCATTGATGCTTTTTATGCTATTTGCTAGTGTGGAATTCTAATACATTTCATTGGAAAAAAAGCATTGCACTAATTATTTTAACATTTTTATACAGTTATAAATCATGATTCCCTAAATATATTCAGAGTTAAGGACTTTCAGTTTTTACATGATATATGTATTGAATAACAATTTATAAACTGTTCATTAATTGTTAATACTAAAAATAACCATGATATCAGTAACTATTATTCTCTGCTTAATTTATATAGTTAATCAATTATATAAATGGTGCAGAGAATAAGCATAGGTATTTTCATTTAAATCATTGGCTTTACTTTGAAAATTAGTTCATTAATAAGCAAATTCAAATGTCTATGAGTATTTTATCTTTAAAACTGTTTGAAATAACTTAGATTATAGATTATTAGCTAACTTAAAAAAACCTTGATTGTTATTAATGTAGCGAAAAATATGCATTTATAGCAAAGCACTATATTGTTCCGTGGTTTTCAACTGGGTATTGCAACAACACTTCAAGGGGTGCTGTGAAACAGGCTGAGCAGCACCATAATACTTCTTATTCATCTTACTAGAAGTATGAAAAGCACAGTAACTCTACATTGATAAAGAAATAGGGATGCTGCAAGAAAAAAATTACCAAGTTGGGGGTGTGTTGTTGCAAAAAGATTGAAAAACATTGGTATAGGCTTAGTTCTTCCCAATATAATTTATAATTTAATAAAATAATTCATTTATGTAATCAGTCTCTCATTTGAATTTGAAATTAGAATATGAAATCAGACACTATTGTATTTTATTTTAGAAAACAGCACAAGATGTTAACATGGTTAAAGATTAAAGAAACATTCATGAGATACTAACATCTATATGAGATTTGTATTAATTCTTGATTCAACAGATTTGTTTTGTGAGATTAAAACATAATAGATTTTAAACAGCAAAGCTTAAAATTCCTTTGCATTTAATAGCTCTTAAAACAATGAATTTATGAACTCTTAGGAGATTTGGCACTAAACTTTTATGAAAAATTCAAAATAAAATTTACTTTTAAGTAAAATTAATATCAAAAATATATAAAAGTTAAACATAAACAAAACAAGAAAATCAAATGGAAAAGAAAAGAATTAGATTAAATAAAGTTAGATTAAAATTAGATTTAATAATTGTATCTGACATCCAATATAGCTTAATAATTATCAAAATAATAAATTGCATATTCATAGATTTTTACCCTTAGACCAGGGGTGGCCAGCAGTTCCCCCCTGGCCGAATTGGAAAGAAAACTTTTTCCACGGGCCGAACTAGAGGCTGCCCTAGGAAGATTTTGAGGTGGTGTGAGATCTCATTGTGGTGTCACCCCGTAGAGACTGAATTGTAGATAGAGATTAGATACATTTTTCACATTACTATATCATGCTTTATTGACATTCTACGCTGTACTTATGACGAGATTTGTAATGGAGGGTTAACTCTAAGGCTGTGTACATTAGGCGTTTTGAAACGCGCGCTTTGGTAACGCGCGTTTTAAGGAACCAAGAGTTCCACATAGATATACACACTCAAATGCGTGCTTCTGGCCAAGCGCGTGTTAATTAATTAATTAATTTAATAGATTTTTGTTAGAACGCGCGTTTTGCAGGCGTCAGCTGCGCATTTTGAGATGCATATGCTGCCATGTTAATATACATTCGATCGCATGTTTTCGGGTAGAGTGGACGCACGTTGGTCGTAATGGAGAACGATCATTTCGATACTGATCCATTTATTGACGAAATCTAAAAGAGACCAGCCATCGTCAAATGATTTTATAGATATTCTAAAAGAATTAAAAAACTTGGGTTCATATTCTCTTAGTTTTGGATACAACGTCACAAACATTCCATGCGTCAGTCTATCTCGTAATATTGGGTGCACCCAAAATTCCCTTTGCCTCTGCCATCGTCTTTTATAGCGACGATGGAAGAGGGGCACACAAGCAATTACTTTCACGTCCATTTCCAAACTGAGCCAGTGCGTATGCTCCATTAAACGCTCGTCTAACGCCGAGCTAACGCCTGGTGTGTACGCTGCTAACGCGCGTTTAACGCAACGCCCAACGCCTAATGTGTACTAGCCCTAAACGCACAGTGAGTTGTTGACCTTTTTTTTCTTTTAGGCGTCAGAATTTTTCATCAAGCTATACGGACTTTAGTAGCTAATATTGAAAGATTGATCGCGGGCCACATAAATTCATTAGACGGGACGAATCTGGCACGCGGGCCGTATGTTGGCCATGCCTGCCTTAGACATTTATGTTATTTATTTATTTCATATAAAAATAATATGCTTAATACTATCCAACTATATTGTCTATACCAGAGGTGGCCAACTTTTATGTACAGAAGATCTACTTTATATCTTAAAAATGTGTCGCGATCGACTTGTTGTCGTAGGGTTAGTCTAAGTGGCGAGGGGGTGGTGTGAAATACATACTATGTTTAGATAGGTAAGAAAAGCCACAATTGAATTTAAAACATGAAGAAAAGGTACTTACATTGTAAACAGAATAAAAATTGAAGCTCAACGTTGTCACTGTCGGGGACCACCACTTCACCCTTCCTCTTTCTACCGTGTCCCGACCACTCCCTCTGTCCCTCTTCCAACCTTCTTTTTTGGTTTTACGATCCTTTGTCTACATTTCTTATTTCCCTTTTACAACTGTACGCAAATGAATATCACATGGACCGACAAAACCGCATCTGAGGGAGGACGCGGTGGGCCAATATCACTACATTTGCGTTTGCGCGTTACGTTCGGTTATAAGTGTAACACATTAATTCAAGACATCTCGAACGATCGACCAAAATTGGCTTCGTAATCGACCGGTCGATCGCGATCGACTTGTTGGCCACCCCTGGTCTATACTAATATTATAAATAGGTGATGTTTGTAAGTTTGTTTGCAGCAGGTAATCTCCGAAACTACTCATCCGATTTCAAAAATTCTTTCACCAATATTTAGAATGGAACCTCAGAGTGGACATAGGCTGTATATTATTCCATTAAACATTCATATAAATTAAAAGATATAATCTAGGTTAAGGCTTTTATGTCCAACAGATGGCGCTACGAGTACGACGCTCTAAGTTTGCTTTTCTGTGAAAATGAACTAAAGCAGATAATCTTTATCTATATAAATAAAAATGTAATGTTCGTTTGTTCCTACCGATTCCTTTGAAATTTTGACACAACGCTGCATTCGAATACGCACGTGTTTTTATATAATATGCATATCGAAATCCCCCCGGGAGATGGACAGGAGTAAGGCTTACCGTAAAGAACTGTGCTTCTATTTATACTATTTTAGATTCGGTTTTTTACGTTTTTAATTGCGGTTTAATAGGGTACGTCAACAGAATATACACTACAAAGGGATTTTTCGATATTCCCCCGCGGGGAAGAGAGACAGGATTAAGGCTTACCGTGAAGAACTTGGCTTCTATTATACTATTTCAGATGCGGTTTTTTGCGTTTTTGATTGCGTTTTAATAGGGTACGTCAAGGAAATGTACACTAAGGGATTTTTCGAAAAATCCCCCCACGGGGGAAGTGTTATACATTTATAATAGATGCATTTTGAGCCACAACAACGCGTGGTGGGGTCTGCTAGAATTATTATAAAAGCAGTCATTCATTTATTGTATGAACCTAGCATAATATTTATAATACGAATATTCATGTATTAAAACATTTTTTTATATTTAATTCGTGGTTATAAAAGTTAGAGTAAAAAATTTAGAAATATTCTCTTTAATTGGTATCAAGAAATAGAAATTTTTGAATAATACTTGCATATACTGTTCATATATACAGTATATATATCCTGATGTTGAAGGATAAGTCTCATAAGATCATCAATGAATAATTATAAAAACGTTCATAAATAACCTTATATTTCAGGATTATCTGTAGAAGGGTCAATATACTGACATTTAACAACGCCTCTATCTGGAAAACTTGTTGGGGCAGTCATCTTCACGTGGCTATCTACTAAAACATTCGAAGGATGTTTCAAAAATTTTTAATATATATCTGTAATAATATACGTTACTTCGATATGCAAACGTAATTCCACCGAGTGTCTTTTAAATTTTGGCTAACTGGATAGATTAGAAGATTAAAGTATAATAACTTAAAATGCCTTCTTTGAAAAACTGTAGAATACATATGTTTACAGTTACTGCGTGGAAACGGATGTATCTAAAATTCTATAGTAAATCCTCCGCTTTTATGAACTAATTGCCTGTTGAAAACTCGTTAAACATGTCCTAATTTGAAATCTACTTTTTCATTGATTTAATATCACAAATTGGGTCTGCTTTTCTGGAAAAGGAAACAAACCTGTATCGTGTTATATTATTCTAAGTTAGCAAACACGAGGCATTTCATAAATCATAATAGAAACTTTTAACAGTCGTAAAACGGGGTTTAATAACGTTATATTTTCATTTGCGGCGAAAATAGTGTTGCAGGTATCCGATGCAAACAGCGAATGCGAGTTAAAAACAATTAATTTGTTCGTTATAACTTCAATGATAGTTTAAAATTACTACGCACAGATTGATGGCATTTTACATTTGATTTAATGACAAAAAGCAGACATATTAACGGTCTGACCGTTAGTATGTCTGCTTTTTGAAATCAGAAAGTTTGAAATCACTAGCGTAACTAAATAAGGCGTCCGGTTCCTTTTTCTATAATGATAAAGTTAAAAATGCTAAATGTAGGAAAAATCATTTAATTATGAAGTTTATTACTGGATATATTTGTTATAATACGTTTTGTAAGCAACTATTAAAATATGTAGTGATTCATATTAAATTTTAACTTGGGATCCTACTTTACGTCGGTTCTGGTTACGCGTAACGCTACTGTTGGAAATAGATTACAAGAAATCCGCAGTAAAGTAGGGAAGATTAGGGAATTGAAGAACATTGAGGTAATGCCGAACAGGGCATTTAGTATTAGATTATAGTAAAGAAACATGTTTTGGCGCCATTCCGAACTGTTGTGGTGAGTCCACATTTCGTTGTTTTTAACAATTTCGTTATACGTCCGTTTTCTCAGCGTAAGTAACATACTTTCATAATTTTCTTTTATATTTACTCTTTGGTATTAACACATGATTATTATTGACACGTACATTTAAAAAGCCAGTAATGAATTGCTTAACTTTCTCGGCAAGATTTAAAATTGTATGTGGCGCCATCTGTTACGAGATTTAAACGTTTTATATTATTTATTATTATAAAATAGCAAGAATATTGATTTTTAGGGTAGGGATGAGTTTTGTAAAAAGTCGTAAGTACTAATAACGAATAAAAAATATTAAGTCCTATCTCACTCGAGTCATGGCACACGACCCCCGTGTAGCTCACCACTTACTAGACATTTAACCACCAAAATTTAATAGAATTAATGTCTCTAATAGACAAACCTCCCTGCAAAATTTCAGAAATTTTCGACAAAAGGCACGGGAGTATTTAAACTATAAATACATTTACATTTAACTTTCAAAATAATAATTTAGAACATCAAAATTCAGATTAATCTCCAAAACGAAATGAGATCCAAAAATTTCAAGATTTATTTCATTTTTAATTCATTGTTTATTATTTATAATTTGTTTCCGGCCATTTTAATATATTTCGTTATGGAAAATTTATGGAGAAGGAGGAGTAGAGAAGGTAAAAAAAAAAGTAGGTAATAGAATGTCATGTTAACAGAAATACAAATGAATAATGGATGAGTGAGTATTAAATAATTTAAATAAAAGATCATAATATTCGATTTGATTTTAATGGATTTGATGACATACATAGACTACATACAAGAAAGACATCGGCCGTACACGAAGTGTTTAGCCGGCAGAAAAGAGTGTAAGCAGAGTCGGTAGATTAACTGGTCTTTCGACTAATAGTTCAAACTTAGCTAGAGACAATATTTGCCGCTAGTTGGCGCCACTGTTAGCAGGAGAGCGTTGTTCTTGCTAGGTATATACTGAAGTCAGTGATTTTGACCTATAATAATTGATTTTTTAGCTACATAAAAATGCCAACGTGCTTTGCGCCAGGATGCGAGGCAGGATATAAGTCATGAACGAGAAGAGACATTTATTATATCCACGAGACGACAAGATGCTAACAAATAAATGTTACGTTTGTGACGTACATTTTGCGAGTAGATTTATTTTAAAAACCTTCTCCCATGTTATAAATGGAGAGAAAGTAGAAATTCCACGAGATCGCTGGGCATTAACGTCGGATGCATATCCATCAAACTTCCCTAATTGTCCTAAGTACATTAGTAGGTCTGTACCTCAAAAACGATCAACGCGATGTCTCACAAGAAATGAAGAACCATCTAGGAAGGGATCACAAAAAGACAATACCAAAGGTAACTATTTATGGTTTTTATGTAATCTTAATCCTCAGTGAGTCATGTAATTTTTTGCCCTTGCCTGAGTTGCAGTGCGTCTCTCGGACCCTGTGTTTTAATATAAAATTAAATTTTATCTATCTATCTATTTTATCTATATTTAAGGAACATTTTATATTTAAAAATTAAGTAAAGATTGAGCTGGGTTTGTGAGATCCACTGTGATTCACTGAGGGTTATCTCTCTGTGGCCCATCTTTCCTTATAAATACTTTAAGATTAATTGTCTGATATTTTTTTTTATCAATCATTAGATTTGCATGATACACACTCCCAAGTAACAACTGTAGAAAAGGAAGTAGAAGAACCCTCCACATCTGAAGCTGCAACTACACAGCATCCTGAGCTGTTATATGTCAATAAAATCTCTGCTTTGCAGTCTGAATTGTTAAAAGTCAAAGAGGATTTATATCGGTGCAGAAAGCAAAAGATGACCTATAGGAAGAAACTGAAAACTCTTCAAACAGAAAATCTCAAGCTTCATCAAGAAAATAATGAACTTAAAATAAAACAGTTGTCGGATGATAAACTTGATTCCTTACCACCGAGACAGATACTTGTAATAGAGCACATGCTGAAAGCATGCCATGTAAAAAGCAAAAAGGGTATGAGATATGACATTAATCGGTTACTTGACTGTTTGCTTTTAAAAATTAGGTCACCATCTGTCTATGAATTTTTGAGAAATAATGATTACTTGCCTTTACCCTATCAGTCTACACTGCACCAATATATCTGCACTTTTTGACGCTTTAAATCGTAGATTGCCACAGGAAGGAATCAGATATGATTCAAATGATCTCAAGGTAATAGTAATGATTCACTAGGAAAAACTATAAATGTTTTAATTAATAACATTTTTAAAATAGATTATTAAAGAATCTCTAGAATGGTTAAATAGATGGGAAGCATTCAGATTACAGATTAGAAGCACTGATCAAAAGGGATTTTTGAGCCACCAGACAGCAGAAAATCTACTAAAATCTACGCTTGACGCTGATTAGTATCTTAGCACTCATCAAACAATTGCTTCCAAACTCATATTATATCCTGACAGCTCACTTTAATCAGGACACATTAGAGGTAAAACTGACGTAGTGTAATGATTATATAATCTTGTATTAAACTCTTAACTTATGTTTTCTTTTCAATTAGCGTTTCTTTGGAATGATAAAACAAGGAAGTGGAAGCAATTCTCATCCCACAACAGTACAGTTCTTATACCTGTACAGACTGATGACTATGTACAGTTTGGTTCGTCCTCCCAAATGAGCATCAGTTCAAACTGATCCTGGATCTATCCTTATTACTTTAAAAAATCTTCACAGTCATAAAAACCAATTTAAAGAAGTTCAAGAACAATTGGAAGAACATTTAGAAAATTTGCTTTGTGATCCAAGCCTATACTATGGAGATCCTAGTGATAGTGAATTATTAGATCATGATTATTGTACACCAGAAACATTTAAGTTTATCCTACATTATTTAGGAGGTTACATTGTTTATCGTCTACTGCTATCACTCGGTTGTGATGAATGCAAAAATATATTAACAGCAAAACCTGAGGATGCTGCACCAGAGAAGACATTTACATTCATCAAATCTCGA